GGATTTGCCTATTTTAAAGTATGTTTTCAACGCAAAAGTCTTTTCGAGCAAAACAAAAAAAAAATGCTCCCAATTTTGTACAAGAATCTCTTTTCATGGAATGTAGAAAATAATGAGCTCGAAACAAGAGAATTCCGATCACTTATTAGCTTTCGGTACTCCAAGGGCGGATCCAGGGGGAGGGTCGTGGGGGTCGCGACCCCCCTGTCATTCCAGAGGTCAAATGGGCTTCTTGTGGTAAAAATGCGACTGGGATTCCTTTGCCCACAAAATTTACCCCTGAGACCCCCCTTCAAAAAAACCCTGGATCCGCCCTTGTACTCAGTGCTATTTTGAGGCATGTTTTCTACAATAATGTCTTTAAGTTTAGAAGGAGACCAAAAGTTATTGTTACAACTAGAGCTTTTTTCATCAAATGTAGAAAATAATAAGCTTGAAACGAGATGATTCTGGTCATTTATTGGCTTTTCATACCCACGTGTGCCTACTATTTTGAGGCATGTTTTCAACGATGTTTCTAGAAGTAGACCTAAAATTGACTCGGCTCTTATTTGATCCAAGAGCTTTTTTCGTCATATGTAGAAATAATGAGCTCAAAACAACTAAGACAATTCTGGTTATTTATTGGCTTTTTGTTCACACATGTAACTATTTTAAGGCATGTTTTCAACGATAATGTAGGAGACGAAAATTTACTGCTCTCATGGTCATTTGGTACAAGAGCTTTTTTCATCACAAATGTAGAAAATAATGAGMTAAAAACAAGAGAACCCCGATCATTTATTAGCTTTCGGTACTAACAGTGCTATTTTGAGGCATGATTTCAAAGATAATGTCTTTACTTAGGCGACAAACATTTAATGTTTCCTATTCTAAACGATAATGAATATAGAAGGAGCCCTAAATGACGCGAGTCTAGTATAGCACCACTACATTAGGTATTTTTGAAAGTAGAGCTGTAAATTGAAAAGTGTTGACGATTTTTTTTGAGGGCCCCACGGAGTCCTTAGACTTGTCTGTTTGCTCTTACCTCAAGGGTATGCATTAGGAAAATTTCATAAACACTCGTTATTGACATTGCATAAAGAGCCCGGAACATTTCAAGCGTATCAGAACTCAAATTTACCGCTCGCTAGAAACAACCGCAGCTGAAAAGATGAATGATAGACGGCTTGGAATAGAAATAAATCGAACCTGAAGAATAGGTTAAAAAATACAGGTAAAAAATATCTAACTAAATAGAAAATATAATGAATGTATCTCTCCAAAAATGCTGAAATTAAAGGAACAACTGAAATGTGTAAATATATATATTAAAGTGCCTATCACCCTTCTGAGAATATTMACAGTATTGATTCTACATGGGGTAAGATGTGGAAAAGCCCGAACTGAGAAATTACGACATAGTTTGAGTGCGGCTTCTTGAAGTTATGAAGGCTTTTCCATGCCATATGCTAATGTTGTGACGTATGAGGAGTAATCATTTAATATACAAAACATTACTGGCACAGATAAATAAAATTTGGAATACGTCATTGTTTTTCCCATTGCTCTTATAGAAATTATTGCAAGCTAATTTTCACATAGAAGCCGGTGTTTAGAATTACAAGGAACAACAAATAACCATAAATGCCTCCTCATACGTCACCGCATTAGCATATGGCATGGAAAAACCTTCATAACTTCAAGAAGCTGCACTCAAACTATGAATTTTTTTCAGGTTATTCGACATCTTACCCTATGTAGAATCAATACTGTGAATATTGTCAGAAGGGTGATAGGCACTTTAAGTTCGTAGCAAGAGAACACGTACTAAGAGAAGTTCATATTCTCTTATTCATCAGTAGCTTTCGAGTTATTTATCTGGTCTCTTTTTTTTAAACCA